GGAAGCAAACGAATTATGATGTTGTAACAGAACTACAGCTGATCATCGAAAGATGACAGAACAAAATAGGAATAAACGTAACTGCTCACGTAAATTGACTCGTCTCTTTGAACTTGAAAAAATGAAGGTCACCTAGAGTACATGGCATGGAATCAACCAGAAAAAACTATGAATAGTTTTTCTCCAGTTTTTTTTTCAGCAATATCATTCACAACTGGTTTTACTCAATGACGTCTCCATTTGCGCGATCACTTACCGGAATAATTGATTGAATAATTGAAAAAACTTTCCAAATTTTTATCGCATAATTTCTATCTGCAGGATATCTAAACTTTTGTCACTGAATTTTTTTACGATTGGTGAACAAATAGTGATGCACAGGATTTTTTATTATGGTTAATTAATTAATTAATGGATTGTAATTTTTGCGGTAATGAGAAGGCAGGGAAGTGGCAATCGAAAAATGGAAGAGTCTGTAGATTTTATTGGGCAAGTGGAATTAGAAAAATCGAGAAGAACACAAACTCTCTGCACCGAGATTTATTCTTGACGGTCTAATTAGCAATTCAACTCCTGCTATTACCGTATAAAAGTATGTAATCATTTCTGCATGTAAGGTGTGTTTAAATCACCAATTTGATAGATTTAAATACGCGAATGTAGATTTATGGGATCATTTTTCAATAATGATGCTTCAGAAGCCAGTGGCATGCAAAGATGATGAATTAATTATCTCTTTTTTTTATTGAAACGAGTACTCGATGCTCTGTCCAGGGTTTTTTCTCAATTCTTTCTTTTATAGTTTTTTCGCATCGAATGTTCCATCTTACATCACTTAGCAATTGTTATCGATCGGAAAAAAATGTCTCTTGACACGCGACAATATGACGATTCGAGAAAATTCCTAGAGTGACATTAATTACTCTTTGATGAATTTTATTGGAGAATCATTACAATGGGGTAATTAGTAATTGAGGATTGAGGAAGTGATCGCTGATGATGCGACGTATTTCTGATGGGAAAACAATTGGCGTTTTTTCAGGTGGTTAATTAGACGTACGAGAAAAAATTGATTACACTCACACTTTTTATTAATTCTTACGTGTTACTTAGGATATTTTGGTATCTTACTGAGGAAATCCAATGAATATCCAAATAGAAATTATTATATAATGATTTCATTGTAAGGAATCATGCGAATTTTATGGCTTTTTAAAAGTAAATAACTTTAATAACGTCTATTCATTGATACCAATTAAAATTCAACTGAAATTAATTCAAATGTAATTGCGGATTGCAATTAAATCTGGTACCCAAATTTTGTGGAATTTAATTTGAGCGTTGATTTAACCCGAATTGAAATCGAGTATCAGATTTCAGAGGGAGTGACCACAAGTTCGTTTCAAATAATTATATGTTAATTATATTTCATTTGTTACAGAGTATTGCAAATGTCAAGAGAGATGCATCATTCCCCACGCTATTATCTCTCAATGCTTTCATCACCACGACAATGATTCAACCTTTAGTGAAAATGACTGCCAGAGAATTTATGTTTGGGTATAAATCGTCTCTAGTCACTTTTGGAAATGTTTTTATGCCGGATTGGATTAAATTCGATAAATTGGGGCTCATCGATAGGGTAAGAACTGCGGAAAATATTATTGAAGGAATTAATCAGATCGCAACCAATTACCATCATTTTCACCATTCGATTTGAAATTCATTAATGCAGGAATTTCATGGAAATTATTCAACTTCAGTAATTTAATTGTGGAATAAATTCCCTTTGCGATTGATTTTCGCAGAATTGAATCCCTTATTTCCAATAAACTACGAAGTTGAAATATTGAAAACTTCACTCATACTTCACTTGCAGTCTACCACCCTGTGAATACCTGTTTTCAATTGGTGATTGACACTCTATTTAACTGCTAGGTATTGGGGCAAAAGCCTTTCAGCATTAGAGGAATGTTATGTCAGCCCCAGAATACAAAATGCCATTGAAATTCTCGCTTTCACTCCCAATCGATCCATCTCAATAGAACAATAGACTGATTCATCAAGTTCTTTCACTGTAATCATCCCAATAAACGATTAGATCTGCACATTATTTTTTTTATTCATGGAATTTCTCGTCTCTCCGTAAAGTAAAAAATCTGGCGTAAGTTGAAATTTTGGAAATAAATTTTTCCTTGCGCAGATGTATGACTTCGACGGAGATGTTGAAACCGTTTATACTGGAGAGACTGACGTGCGATTAACTGGTCTCATTGAGAAATACAATGGAGATGTCAATTTACCCCAGTGGACCGGAAAATGTGCGAACGTTAACAAAGCCAGTGATGGGACAAAATTCGCAAGTTACATCGAACCAAACGACACTCTCCTCTTCTTCAGGAAGAGCCTCTGCCGAGCTGCAAAAATGGTACATAAATTATTTTCAAATCCTCACAAATTCTCTTCTCCACCAAAACCAATTTACCACATTAATTGTTTGATAGCCGATGGATCTGAATTTTTCATAGAAAAAAAAAATAAATCGAATCGATAAAGAGACATTACCGGATATTCATCAATCACTATAGGGAAAATCCAACTTTTTGTCTCGTTACATTGTTACACGTCTCGGCTAGACATATTCATCGTCCGATTGAATCCATTAATTCTCGACAATTACATGTGCAGGTACGAATCGGTGAGAAAGACGTGAAGGGTTTGCACGCGTATCAGTACAAATTTATGGAGGACGAGCTTGACAATGGTGTCAATAACACGGAAAACGAGTGTTTCTGTCGTCAGGGACGCTGTCTGCAACCAGGACTCATCGACGTCACCGATTGTTATTACGGTGAGTGCATCTCCAACGATCACAACAATATGAATCATTGTTAAATATCACATGAGGGAATTTACCACTTGATATTGTGATCCATATTTCCTTGGAATCCATGTTCTCACAGGAAATTAAATGATATTACGTCGTTCATTAATCATTCAGTGGAAAAAATGAATGAAAGACCTGACGAGAACCTATTAATGAACTTTTTTCACATTTCAAAAGAGATAATTATGTTCACGTCCGTTTTTTGGATTTATTAGGTATTTTGTGTGTAATTGAATTGTTTTTCAATGGATTTTCAGGATTTCCGATCGCCCTGTCGTACCCTCACTTCTACAAATCTGATCCCTCCTTATTGGAGTCTGTAATCGGTCTGAAGCCTGATCAAAAGGCTCACGAGTCTTACTTTTATATTCAACCGAAATCCGGATTGCCTGTCGACCTTGCATTTCGATTTCAAATAAACATGGCACTTCAGGATATCAGCAGCATCTCCAACGTCGAGCGTTTCTCTAATATGGTGCTACCCCTTCTCTGGTTCGAAATTGTAAGTAATAACGATAATTACAGAATAAATTAATTCAACGAGGGGTCGAAGCTACGTGAGACGCGCAATGAAATTCCATCGCAGCAGCGAAATTAAAGTTGCATAATTAAAATTGTTTAAAGACCATTTTATTTACGGAAAATGACACTGAATTGCCACTGAATCCCACAACTGTTGACCACAAAGAGGAAAATGAAATAAATAGCGCCATCATCTCGGCTAGCTTCTCAGAAAAAAATGGGAAAAACAAATCCTGCAGTTAATTACCCACTTTGCGAGCTTGTATCCAATAATTAATGAAAAAAATGTAGTTTTTTCTCTTTTACACTGGGTAGACGTTCTTCTGCTTTTTAAAATCATTCATCTCCAATAAATAGTCGAATTCTCTTACCTTTTCAGGGAATGTATGAACTCCCCGAATTCATGAACAACCGTTTCTTCCTGTATCTGAATGTCCTTCCAGTCTTCCAGGACGTGGCATCCTATGCCCTGTTCCTTGGTGGTGCAATATTCCTCATATTCAGTGTCGTGAAGATTCTTTTGTATCGACCAAAGGGAGCCACCCAGACACCGGCCCAGTGGTTTGAGACAGAACTCCAGAGGAAGAGGCTGCACTTCCTCAATGAAAATCGTAACTCCTTCCGGGCGAGGCAAATGGACACGTACTACAACTCCCTGCTGGAGCCCAAGGAGGAGATGACACCAATGACTGCTATCGAAAATACTGAGTTCAAGGAAGAGGATCTCGTTTAACTCATCATTTCAATATAATTTATTTAATCATCCTGAATCAGGAGAGATGACAAGAAAACCGTCTGAACATTTCGTACGTTTTTTTTGGATAGAAAGTCGTTATTTTTCTATTCCTGTTGTTTTTTTTTTATTAGATTATTGAAGTACGCCCCGTGTTTTTGTACTTTTTTACTCAGAAAAGAACGTATCGCGTGTGGACGAGATCATAAACAGAACTATGAAGTATTAATTATTCGAAATATAACTCGTGCACTCAGAAAAATTGGGTTTGGATCAAATAACGCGTTTTCTGTGGAAATATTTTAATCTGACTTTATCAATTACGTAAATGAAGATTTTTTTTTATCGCAGGACTTTTGATTGGTTTATCAATTTTCTCTATAAGCTAGAGGCAATGATTTGATTCAATGAATAATTTTTCTGGATGTGTAAAACTGATGATCAAACAGTATTCGAGTGCTTTCTCCTCGAATTTGATGTTCTCTGGTGAATTGAAGAACCGATTCGAGTGATGGAACTGCAAAATTTTCCAGATTAATTAGTGTGAAAAATTTTTCAAGGTTTTCATTTTGAAAATCATAATCGACAGCTCTTCTTCGTCATCAGATAATTGTAAATATTGTACATAAATCTAGGATTTAAATATTAACTAATTCGTCGGATTGAATTTTTCAGTGAAAAAATTCCTATCAGACATTAACAGGTGACCTCAGGAAAACTAATGTGAAAAATTTTGAAGGTACACCTGTGGGTGTATGAATATCACTGCACATTTTTTTAATTGTTTATGTTCATTATCATTACACTCACAGTTGTGGTCCCGACGATGGCCAGGCGACCGATAATCTTGCCTTTTTTTTATTTATACATTTGATTAACTATTTCCATAGGCAATGCTCTGGTGTACGACAATTTTGAAATTTGGTTTATGGATATTTCTGTCGTTCACAACGAAAAACCGGATAATTCATGATTATTATATTTTAGGATCAATTATTCTCACAATTGTCTGCCTAAACTCGTGGATATATTATTTATGAATTTAATGAAAGAATACTAGTTTTATTATAAAATACTGTAGCGTTAATTAACCTGGTGACATTGTCAGCACTTGCTAGCCTCTTTCGAAAGATTTTTATTTAATTCGACGCTGATTGCAGCCCGGCGTCCTAGAGAATTAGTAATTTTAATTGTAACGCTAGTAGTGCATATAGGAATGTGATAGTTATCATTATCCTTTCACCCACTTTTGTTGAATTAATTAATAATAGTTATTGTTTTATGAGAAATAATGGAGATGATGTGAATCTTGCCAGAAGTCGATCTGCTCTGTGGTTTATTGGAAAAATTGCTCAATAAATAAATTTTTTTCGTATAAAAGACTCTTGTCCTCAATGTCTTCACCTTATTCTCCCCTTTATTTTATTTTACCACCTGAATAAATAGCAATATTAAAATTGATGCTATGAGGAAAGGGAAGGTGTCAGAAGAAAATAGTGGAAATGAATTTCGTTTCACGGTTTCTGAATTTATTCATCTTTTCACGTTGTAATTATTTTTTTTTTTTTATGAAGTACGTCCTTTTGCTTGAATTAGTGGCTGACAAATGACATTTTGGCAAATGACATAAAAAATTCTATCCAATTTTCTGGATAACTATACTAATACATGATTGAAACATTCACTAGTAATGAGAAGTGCATTTTGTTCATTTTACAATGAAATAATGACACATAAGGTGTCCATTATCTCTGCGTGATAAAAAATTTGTTTTATTGTTGTTTATTACGTATTCGACGAACACACGATAAATCACGCTCGAGTTGATATTGTTCGTCAACTTCGAATATCGAAGACGTGATTTTTTTTCTTCCTTGAAGCTCGATCGAAAAATGCCATTTGGTTGATACGAAAAACTACGTGTAAATGGATAAATATTTTTTTGATTTTTGTTCTCATTCAAGATGATAATAAAAATCGATCGAGCATCAACAAATTGAGATCTTCACCAGCCCTCAGGCTTCCGTTAAATTATTGAATTGTATCAAGTCACTTCAACACATTCAAATGATCAGTTTGTACTTTTGACAGTATTTTATCATTCAATTATTCCATTATTCACTCGAAAGTAACGATAAATAATCCAATTATTGGTGAATGGAAACGAGAATGAGAATTTGATTTAATTGTAATTTATTTAATCATCTTCCTCCGATAATGGAAACACTCTTTCAAAAAATTCAAGGTAATTATTTGGTCATTGAAGGGCAACTTAATGAAATCGACAGGATTTTTATCGAGATTCTGATGCTCCCCACGAAAACAGTTGGTGAAGCACGCATTACTCCTCGAGACAATGTTTATAATTAATAACATCCTTCAAAGAGTGCCTCACAGCATCCATGTTTACCCTGAGATATGTAACCTACATCACGTTGAAATTACATTCTCGTTAAATTCTGCGTTCTACCAAACACTTGAAATTTATAAATAAAATCGTTTCAGGATCTTATTCCTGTAGTTATCAATCTCCAAGCGAAATTCCAATACATTTCTTTTGAAAATCAATGAAATAAAGGAAAGACTACCCTTTTTGCATTACACATAAGAAAGAGAAAGAAATCATTTTCTAAAGAATTAATTTTTTACTGCGAGTATGTGCGATTTAATAAAGCGAAAATTCATTCGAAAATAATTCGACAAAGTATTCAGAAGAGAAATTAATTATTAATGTCTTGTGACTAGCACAAACTGGCTATGTTCTGTGGAATACTTTCATTTAATTATTTATTCCTCTACATTCACACTATTGCAATTGATAAATGACGCGTTCCAAAATAAATTAAATTAAAAAAATATCTATAAATACAAAAGAAAAAGCAGAACAAGGACAACTATCGACGAATGAAGTTATTCGAGAGTGGTAAGAGAATAAATTATAAAGGACAATTTCTCCACTGATAGACCCAAGAATTCTTGCCAATAATTGCAACAGTGTAAATACATGAGTGGTTTCATTTTCACCCTAGGCCAGTCATCATTATCTTTCTCATCTTTTATTTTCACTCAAATCATTTCACCCTCTTAAGATTTACCTGCCTCAAAACACATGAAAATTTCTAATTTTCGCTGGTATTATATACACGAGTTTACTTCACCATTTAATTTCTTCAAATACGTGAATTTTATGCAGTCTCATTTTTCATTGTTTTTGAAATTATTTTAATTTATTGATTCACTCTCAGGGGAAAATATTTAATTATTGTTTATTCGAGAACACATTGCTCGCATATTTTCACGCATTCGAAGACACGTTCTAACACTCAATACTTTTAAATACAATAATCCACACACTCATACTCAAAAAATCTTGATTTTCATTTTTTATGATTTTTTTTTACCTCATTTTCGTTTCTTTTTTTATTTTTATTCAAACGCTTCGACGAAAAAAACCAATTTGATCAACTCTTTGAACTTTCCCTGTAAAGCTATCAAGTTCAACAAATTAGCCACTTTACGAATAGAATGCACGTACCTTTTTGTTTTGTTAATCTTCCCGTCTCCAGTTGACGGAGATTGAGGTACGACCTACAACTTAAATCCTTTTTTTGTTTTATAGGTATTTTAAAATTTTTTTTTCCTTTACTTTTTCGTCAATTAAATCCGTTAATAGCGATATAATATATAATTAGATAGAATATACATAAGTTCTTCAACAGTGGAATTATCTATTCGATTGTTAACCACTGTTTGAAATTTTTGTTATCACATTAACCCTTTCCTTAATGTTTTAACATTTGTTTTTTCATCTCGCTAATTTTGTCTTCACAGCTCTCATCGGCACTTTTCCAGCAACCTCAACTCCAATTTAGAATGTCGCCGTAATTATACAAAATGCGCAAAATTATCCAGAACTTATAAATTATATGAATGTTCTTTTTGGTTTTCGTTCATGCCAGAGTTATTCTTGAAAGATTTTTCTATCGAAACATACAGAACACACGTGCAAGCTCAATATTTGCCTGAATTCTCCAGAAAATTGCTTCAAAAGCTGTTTTCTGGTTGCACCCAAAAATTTTCAACAATTTAACGCCTTTTGCTGTGGCGTCTTCCAAACTTACGACTTTTCCTGACTCGACTGGGCGATGGAACTGGCGCATGTTCAGCAATTACTGGTAAAACAGAAGTAAATTTATCAGTTGGTCGAAGTAGCCTAGCAGTTCTGGACGACAATCGCCAAATAAGTCTCTGTCTGTGTGGTGTTTGCTCTTGTGCATTGTACTTGCTTAATATAGCACCAACAAGTTCGTGCGTAGCAAAAAAGCTCTCATCAGATATTTTAGACATCTTCTGAAGCTCAGCAGCAAATTCAACGAGCCTGAGCATCTGCTGCGCTGGTGTCACTTCGATTTCCATAGATGATGTTCCCGCTAGAGGTGCAAAAGGTGTTGCATCTGCATGTGCATCAAGACGATTGACAGCCGAGTCCAAATACGTGCAGATCAACACCAGTGCAACTTCAGATGGTCTGAGGCTCGCGCAATTGCCATCGCACGCAACCATTTCCAGTCTCAGAAGTAATTCTGATTCCGTAATGAGACTGGCGTATAGCTCACCAAGTCCCATCTGCGATGCAGCGGCTTGAAACATAACGTGAAAGAGACGAAGAAATGTGAGTGCTGTTATCGGTGTTGTACCAGGTACCCAATCGAGTTTAGCGCTTATCAAATCTGACATGCGTTTTAGATCACCACCGGTGCATTTGCACTGGGATATTGATACGAGATGATCGGCATCGAGTGATTGGGCCATTTGGACGGCAGCAATGTGAAACGAGGAGACGCTTATGCAGGCCATGTGTTTCGGTCTCGCTTTCATTTTTGTTAAGAAACGATCCATCAGATTTATTGCGATGAATAATACGTCGGATGATAGATCGTACCAGACCTTGAGGCAGCGAAGAACGTGGGCAGAACCATCCCTGGCGCCAATCGTTATCTCATCGTTCTAATCATAATAAATAGTATTAATTATCAATATTCATAAACTCCAAGGAATTTCAACGATGAATTCTGTTCGAAATAATTACTTGAGTGGTGACGGGGAGTTGGAGGCTCGGCTGATACTTGAGCTCGAGCACCAGGGCCTCTTGGAGCTGCTCAAGGAGGGAGTGGATTGCATCCGGTACAGGCGAGCCTGATGTGTCCATTCCTGCCATGTGTGACCAGCTGATTTTCAGTGAGATTTTTCAAGGTTGACAGACGTCACTGCTGACTCAGTAGCTGTCACTTTTGGGAAGAAGTAGTATGGCCTGCGATTGCTCGCTAGTCACACTACAAGAATGGCCCAGCTGGCTAGCCTGGTATCTGCAACAAGTCCAAATGACGAAAACATTGATTCAATCGGGAAAATAAAACTTGAATGAGTGTGACGCTTTCCCTTTGTTTTCTGTTTACAAACTTTCAGAGATCCGTGATAATACGCTTAAAGATCCTGTTTACGAGATATTCATGTGATCGTTTGAGAATCAGGAAGTACGATTGTCAGCAAAGAATAAATTTAGCTTCGGAAAAACAATTCAATAAATGGAGTGAATAAAGAGTGAAAAAATCAAGGTCAATATAGGCAGATGAGATGTTCGATCCATGCACTCACAGCGATGATATTTTTCTCGTCTAATCTGAGAGATGAAATTACAGCAAAAAAAAAAAAATTTTAATAACTCGAAAGTTCGTGATTATCACATGACAATGGCACATGTAGACTCCCCCGATTTTTATCAATCGACTTCGCAGATTTTATTATCTCGTAGATGATCAGGTGCTGGTGGAAAAAATAGAAATTTGATGAAAAATTGGACTTTGGTACTTGATAAATTTAAATCGGGTTACCGCAGTTTCAATCCTCTTGGGGACTGAGGGAAAATCCGGGGATAATGGGCTTATATGCTCTGTTTGACCTCGCAATGTTCAACAACAAGTGGACTGAGGTACAAATTATAACCTTTCACTGGAGGATCTTTAGTTTCGGGGCTAGAATTACAGCCCATCGTCACGTAGTCCAGTGGAGGGTAATTCTGAGGGTCTCCCGAAGGTTCTACACTCTTCAAATTTTCTTTCTTCATGAACATTAATATCCATGTCATTTTAAATGTGCACCCTCAGGCCTTTTTCGCCATATTAAAACCTAAAATTACTCCTTCAAGTAATTTCGAAAAAGTTGTAAAAAAATCTCAATAACTTTCGTTTTCTTTTTCCACATATGTATATATGAGTATTTACTTCAGGGGAGTGGTTCAATTCCGAGGAAAAGGCCATCATTTTACGTCACAAAATCGTCAGAGAACGAGGATAAACAACTTTTTCCGCGATCTTTCCACTTTTTAAATTTCTCTCGTTGTTCAAAAAAATTCCAGAATTATTATAATGATAAGAGAAGTCCGTTATCAAGATCGAGAATCGAAATTCATGGGGCGCTACGTCATGGGCACATGTTCAATGTTTAATGGTGTGGGGATCCAACGCATCTGTAAACCACCAATAAAATTCACAGATGCTATAAGTGTCTTAGTGAGTCATGTTGAAATAAAAGTCTAAACAGGCTGGAACAAGTCCAGACCTGTCTCACGTTCGAGATTATTCTTGAACCACGTTTTTTAATTTGAAAAAATCTTAAAACTCCCCAAAAAAACCGTCAAAAAATACAGGAATTCACTAAAAATTATTCGAAATGCTCTTAGAACTCCCCATAGCAACAATATGAATTACAAATCCTCTCGTTTCAGGCAAGGAATTAATTCCAGCAGAATAAAAAAATTATGAATTATTAATAATTTACGACTGAGTCAATTAGGCTTTAAGATACTTACAAAAAGGCAGTAATTATCACAGTTAAAAATCCGTAGAGTAAATCCCTGAGTCCTTTGTACTATAGTCCAGAGTTCTGACGCAACAAATGTCACTTGCAGTTGCTCCGAAAAATCTGACGTAATATAAATTCACTAAAAAAAAACTACCTGATCCCCGGAAAAATCTCACCGCGGTTTTTTAATTACTTAATTAGTCAGTCTCAAAGTTTCTTTGTTCGTTATAATATTTAATGGTTATGTGAGACTCTGAAGGCGTTCAGATCGGTGGAATGATCGTGCGATCGAATGGATCGATTCAAATAAATAAATAACGAATAAAATACTATTGTCGTTGATAATTAATTATTAGATAATTATGTGGCTGGTCTCGGAGTGTCCTTGGCGGGAAGCTATTGCTAGTGATGAGTGACTAGTTGCTTCGAAATTATTGAAATTCCACTTTTTTAGAAATTTTCCGATTTTATGAGGGTACACAACACTTTTACGGTAATTTGGGGATAAATAAATTAACGGTTGTTGCAAATTTCAGCTTGAGCTTTTTTTTTAGCTCCAAAAGGAGCGTACGTGCGAACGGACGCGCTCGGTAAGAGTCGTTGACTGCTATGGAGATCGCTGTGTGGGTAATGGTATGTTCGTACTGTGTGGGTTTGGTAGAACGAATCCTATTGGTGTAAATTCCACGGACAAAGAGACTATTCAATGCGCAGGGGGAATGATAAACCGTACCGTTGGCGCACGCACAGCTGACGCAATACCCGTTTCTAACGCAATGAAAAAAATTCTACTAAATTAATTTACTTCTGCCAAGTCAATTTCCTTGGCACAAATGTATGCATACCCATTTTTCATATAAACAGTTCCATTAAAAATATGAGGATTTTGTAGGTGCTAATACGATATGTACTCTGCTGAATTGATTATTTTTATCAGTGCACTGATAACAAAAAAATAATAGTGATCAAATTATTTGATAATTAATTAATCAGTCTTTCAGGTTTTAATCTGGCGAGTCATTCCCAGGAAATGCTCGTTGAGTCTCAATTATTATATTCTGATTTTTTTTTTATCAAGAAGATAAAGATAATTACTGGCATTAATTATGATGGGAAATGAAAATGAAAAGATGGAAAAATGCGTGTCTTAACCAAATGAGTATTTAAATTGCATAATTTTTGAAGTTTTTATTGTATAATGGGTATCAACTGTGAAATCAGCGGGATTTCAAAAAATTGTTCACTGTTAAGAGAATGTTGTTTAAATTTTCGTTTAGTTAATTTTCCTCGAGGGAGTGGGAGACTCAAGGGAAACTCAGGCTGATTTTCGTGGGTGAAATTTTGAAGGACAGTTGTGGGATTCTCCCGTAAATATTTTTGGTCACTTTTGATAGCTGCTGTAACTGTGTCACGATTGTATAAGTGTGCTAATGGACGAAAATATTCGAAACGGGCATAGGCTTGCTCATTGAATCGTGACGTGGGAGGAAACCTTGAGAGACAAAGGTGAAATAATTCTAATTTGCGCTGGACAAAGATTAATATCCATGCTGTTTTTAAATTTATTTATAAAACAGGAATACGAAAAGACTTTGCTCGACTGTGGAATGAGATTTTTTTGTGCCCAGAATATTCTCGGATTTTCGCAATAATTCCATTTACGATCGCTCGAGTAATAAAGTAAGATAAATCCAATTTAACAGTCGTTTTATTTTCTGGTTTATCCCGAAAATTCTTGACTGAAATAAAAAATATTGGAGGACTTCATTGTGGCGGATTACATTTTCGGCAGAAAAGTCATTTAATATTTTCTCGTGAAATCAATCGTTTTCAAATTAATTTATATTTCAGGACTCTCGGAAAGTTATGTATTTTTGGCAACTGCTTTTTATAACCCTCTCTCTCTCTCTCCGCGAAAAAAAAATATAACAACTCCATTTCCTGTACTACAAGTGAAACCGTATCGATAAAATTAGAAAACTGGTTATCAATTGGATAAAAATTGACATTATTCAATACTGCTTGCGTCATCGAAATAAATTCTCAGTTCGCAATCAACAACTCTACGACAGCGAAAAGTCAACAAGTTCTAATTTTTCTACGCAAATCATTCCCTCGACAAGAGAAAAAAGTCTAAAATTCAAAGCCTAAAAAGTAAACAACGAATTTATGTATTCTCCTGTTCAGAAATTATGTAAAAAAAATTGGGAAACTTTGTTATTCGCCTGTGAGGGTAAGAGCAGGTGAAAACATCATCTCCTATCTTTCAAGAGCAGTAAAATCAGCTGCTCCTCAATGAAAAACTTCTGCTAATGGATTGACCCAGAAATATTTGAAAGCTAAAACTCGGAGATGCGTCGCTAATATTTCTCTGCAAGCAACCACTGTACCAGTAATTGACGCCTCGATAACAAAAGAATAGTAATGAATTGTTATTGAAAACTCACCCGGATGCGTCCAAAACGCCTCACTCCACTTAATCAACCAGTCCTGGCACTATTGAGGTGAAATTAGGATGAAAAATAAATGAAAAATCCTTTCGGAGTCGAGGATTCTGGAGTTTGACAGTTAGTCGGTCAACAAGCAATGGCGTCTCGTCGTACAGCTGATTACTGCGCATCACGTACTGATTCTACACGCCACTGAAAAGTAGTCCCCACTCTAAACCCCTATTTCTGCATTCCAGGTCGTTAAAAATTGTTCATTTGCCTACGAAAAAATTCACAGCTACATTATTTATTTTTTCCACTCATCCAAAATGTTTTACGATCATCAGTAGCTCGGGGATGAGGAAATTTCGGAGGTTCCGGAGTTTTTCGAGTGATTGCAACAATGTGTATTACGCCTACGCACTGCAATAAGTGTCAACAAACAACCCAGCAGCCAATTGCAGCCCCAGAATAATATCAGATGATTGGAAGAAGCAGATTCATTCGGTGGGAAGAGCACTCAGACGAGTTAACTGTCAAATGGAGAGTATTTAGGAATTTTGAAAGTCAATAGAAACTCTCAGGACTTTCGGGGAATGAAAAGGATTATTGTGTAAAATGAAATTTTTCCATCACCCAATTGGTGACATCTGAAATGTTGTCAAATAAATCAAATGAATTGAATCCAATTAGAATTTGTCTTTAATTCATTTGCACGAAACAAAGCATTCTCTCTTTAATTCTGCCTGCACTCGCTTAAAAAAATGGTTTCAATAAAATCTCACTATTTCTTCATCGACAAATTTTCGACGCAGAGCCATCGAGCGAGAGTGCCTCTTTCACTCTCTCGTTCTCCAGCTTCTTCACAGCCATTTCAAGTACAAACAAGTGATCATCGTGCACCCCAGGTGCGATAATTCTCATAGCCATTGCCAATTTATAGAGATACTCTGTGTTAGCTCCACTGGGTCCATGGGCCTCCACGATGTGGCTGGCAATAGTCTCTATAGTCTCGACACCAGCGTAATTGGGATTGTCCTCGGTGCCGATATATATTGTCAGCTGAAAGGGGAGTTCCTCGGAGGCTGTGGGGGTTGTTGGCACGACTGGGTGAGAATTAAGATTGCTGTCAGAATTGTTTAAGGTACTGGGGTCGATTTTCTGGATGGGACGAGATGGATGGAATAATACTGTTTTCCTTCGGTAGCCACCTTTCTCCCTGAAGTCCAGGTGATTCACAACATTCTCGATATTTTCCGTAGATATTTTGTAGGCAACACCCCACACCTCCTCTGTTGGATCCGTTGCTGTCAGGAGAGTGACCACGCGTCCTGGCTGCAAAAAGAAAATCGTTTTTCAACCATCGCTTATGAAATAATGATAACGTCAAAATAATGACGTCTAGAAACGTCAGTTGGGTATGAAATGGATGCATAAATAAATAAAAATAGTATGTTACAATTATCTCACCTTGGATGGGATACCCCGATGATCAGTGCTTTTTTGGTAAAATCTTCTGACGTATCCCTTGATGTGGCCAACGAGTTTTTTTTCGTACGGAAAATCCACTTTCCATATCAGTGATCCATAACCAAATACCCACATAGTTAAGTGAAGTTGCAATCACGTCACGCTTTTTAATTTAATCAACGGTTCCTCGGTCGTGAGCTTGCAGCATGAGTACATCTCGTACACGTGTGCACTTTTTCTCTGTGTTATTATCACGACATTCTATTACACACGAATCCTCTACTAAAAAAAGCATGGACTGAAAAGTGTCATGGCGGAGAGCAAAGAGGATTGACTAAAGTAGAGGCTCAGTTCTGGGGGTTTGAGTGACCCC